AGAGTTTACTTTTGGACAATTTAGTCCAAAAGTAAATTCTTTGCATTTGAATTCAAAGTTCAAGTGTTCGATTCTATCAACTGTGTAGTGTTCTTTTGTGCTTTGCTTCTTTCTGTTCTATCCTAATCTCTCTCTCTCTCTCTCTCTCCGAATTAATTTTTGTAAAAATGATCCAAGCGTAGGATGTGCGCATTGAAATACACATCCTATACGATGATGCCATGCTTCCACAGAATTATTTGTACGCATCGATAATTGTGTTGTTCTTGTATGCATATTCCACAATTCAATACTAAATGTTGGTTGACATCGTGTATTATTAGGGCGAAGTCGTCCTATATATGTATCTTCAAAATAATTTAAAATATCTTGGTAATCATCATCAAGATCTAATGCAAGATGTGAATATGCATGTAATACAAGCTAACGAAGCTATTTTATTAATATTATGAGCAAATTTAGCATCTTATTGATAACGATTCTGATAACCTAATGTCTAATATACAAAAACAAAAGTTATACATTGAAGAGCGAACATATTCTATTCGAACGTATTTTTATACTAAATTACTTCAATGTTACCTGAAGTTGTCGATGAAAATTTTGACGGAAATGGAAATAACAATCAGATAATGATATATTAACGAAACTACTGTCATATACACTAATACATGCCTTTTCGAAATCAAGTAAAATAGAAGCAGGGAACCAGCATGGAGCAAATTCTACTATTTCATTTATAAGACATTGATATGTATCACTATTTTTACGACTGAGTAATGAATAGACAACTGGTACAACATGTCCATGATAGATGGCATGTACAACATATAATTGATAAAAAATCTCAGGAACAACCTAAACATAGGAATATTTACTTTTACTTCACTCAACTGAAATTTCCACTGAAATCCAAGAAATATCTACTTCTATACATACTTTAAATGTACCATCAACAAGAAAACGAGCTAATGCTTCATCCGACATTCCGATACAACAATATGTTATAATTAAATCAGGTATTTCCTGTGTATTCATTGTACGATACCAAAGATCTTCATTAAACTTTCGAAGTTCACCTGTAATACCATTACTTTTGCATGTATGATCAGAAGGTGGAGTTATAACATTATTGGTAACATTACATGTATGAAGACGAGCATGACATTTTTGAGAATTATAATATATACAACGCCAATATGTTTTATTTTCAGTAAATCGATCTTTTATGTACGAAAAACCTTGGAGTTCAAGACGAAGTTTTTGTTTAGTAGTACATAATACTGATGTAGATATTGCTGTAGACATATTTTTGCTGTAGAGAAAGTGAGTTGAGAAGTGAAGTTGAAAAGTGAAAGTGAATTGTGAAAAAAGTTATAAATATATAATAGTATATTGAATTTACATCAATTATCCCAGTTAATAATATATTGATTAACTTGTCAGTAACTCTATTTTAAATTTTTGCAACTGTTTGTTTTCAACAAATTATTAAAATTCCTATATTGATGACTTTTCGACAACAGTATATTAAATAAATTGATTAAATTAACTTTCTCTTAAATTATTTCAACTGTTTATGATACAAAAAATTTAATGGATAAAGATATAAATTTGTGCTCATGTTTCCTCCTGCTCAACTTTCCTCGTGCCCAATTTTCCTAGTGCCCATATTTCCTAGTGCTCAACTTTCCCGTGCTCATCTTTCCGTGCTCAAGTTTCTTCGTGCTCATCTTTCACCCACCCTAATAGAAGACCACTGCCGATTATATGACTTGAAAGCCAAATAGAAGACCATGGTCTTCTAACTCCTAGAAGACCAGTGGTCTTCTATTATGTTCGCAAAAGAAATCGGAAAATGCCCTATACCTATAGGGGAATTTTCAAAAAAATTTCACCAAAATGTACTTCTAAGTAGAAGAACCGAATTCATGTATATTTGCAAGCTGTAACGTGTTGTTTGATGTAGGATTAAATATCTGCACCACTCGTTTAAGTAACGTTGAGCAAAGAAAAGCAAGCGAGCAAGGGAAGAATGTTCTTTAGGAGCATAAACTGGTCTTTTCTAACAGACAAGGCGCGATATCGAGATCCCGGTCGTTGAGAACGTTAGCGTTCAATAATACAGAGTAAAAATTTAGCATGTTTTACCAACACCTTAAAAAGCAATAACGGGTAAATTTAGTTGTACAGACTAAGAGTAAATGCAGTATTCTTTCGTCAGATAACGGCTATTACTGAAGCCATAGGCTGATATACGAATCGACGTAGAAAAGACAGAGTTGAAGTACTATATTCACATGCGTATGACATTGGAGGAGCATTTAAATTAAGTTATTTATACTTACCTGTATCTCCTTTAATAATTAATGGCATTCGTGCCAATTTTCTTTCGTGTAAATGGAATAACTTGTAAGCAATAACCTCCGTTAACACAAATATTTTTTCTACTAATATGGTAGTAAAATTATTTTCTGACAGATTCAGTAGCCAAGATACTAATACTGAAAACGGATCTTTATTGGCGAAGGTACACTTCACTTCATACAATACACTTCATTTTGTGAGTTTTACTTACAATTACAAAACACTCAAATTTTATCTATTACTCATATGATCCTTTGTCTGTAGACGCAGAGAAACCTTTTTAAGTGGAAAAAACCTTATGCTGAAACGAAAAGTATACAGTGGTTTGAGTTTGAGGCCTAGCGTTTTCTCAGCTACTAGAAGTAGGTCAGAAAAGTGTAAAAAATCTACTGAAGCTTGCTGGATACTGAAAACAACCTTCGAAAAATACGGAAATAGATCTAAAGTGGCGGACAAAACTTTAAGGCACCTTTTGGTTTTCATTTTTCTGCCTGAAAGATCACTCATTATCGACATGCGAATAGTGATTTGGATAGCTCTCAGAGCGTGCTACAAACCTGAAGTGATAAGAAAACTTAAGCTCAGCTGTTTTCGTTTTTGTGATAGAAATCGTTTCAAGGCTCCTTTGGAATAAATCGGTTTTGAAGCCAGTTTTTTGTCCAAAATGGACCACAGCATCTCTTTCGGGTTGAGATCTGGACTTTTAGGGGCCCAGCCGAGTACTTTTAGTTTCAATTTGGCAATTTTAGCTTTCACTATATTTGATGTATGCCATGGAGCCAGGTCTTGTTGGAAGATTATTTCGGTTTTCTGCGATATTTTGGTCATGGATTGCTTTAGTTCTTTCTGCAAAACATCGCAATATAATTGACCATTTATATTTTGCGTGTAAATCTCAGCAGCGGCTGTAACGAAACCCGAGATGCTGCCCCAAATGCCAACCTTCCCCCCATTACCGGTATTGGTTTGGTCTAAACATTCCGGAAGAAGTTTCTCTTTTTCTAGACGCCATATTTTGCATTGACTTTTTCTTTTAAACACATAAAACGTCGATTCGTCTGAAAAAATCACCTTCCGCCAGTCATCGTGTGTCCAGCTCAAATGTTGTGTGCACCCGGCAACACGCTGTTGCCGATGTCGAGCACTTAATCACTGTTTCTTGATTTTCTCTACGTACTCAAAGCCAAGATCTTTCAAATATCGGCGTACTGTTCGTATTGTAACCGGTTTTGGTAAGCTGCTGTTCAAGTCCGATGCTATTTTCGCAGCGCTGAGGCGGGAATCCCCTTTGACCAATTTTTTCAAATGCCGAACTTCACGATCAGAAAGTATTTTTGGACGTCCGGTGTGTTTCAGATCACCATATCGACCTAGCTCTTCATACTTTTTGATCGCATTTTGAACATAACATCTTGAGATCTTTAGTTGTTTTGACATTTGAACCTGGTTGAGACCGGCACCATGTAAGACTACCGCCTGAGCCCGGATAACTGGATCAATAGGCTTTTTTCCCATAAGAGGTTTTGATAATAATAAGATAAGCAAAATATATCTAAAGAATTACAGCAATATTATCTTTCATATTTTTTTCGAAAATAAAGCAAAGATATCGAAAAGCGCCTTAAAATTTTGTCCGCTGGGCAAAAACGATTTCTGTCACAAAAACGAAAACAGCTGAGCTTAAGTTTTCTTATCACTTCAGGTTTGTAGCACGCTCTGACGAGGGAACCTCCTGAGGTGCTAAAAACCTTTTTGAGTGGGACTATTTTTAAAATTTAGACCCACATGGACTATGAAGAATCCCAACTTGGTTCGTGCGTCTACAGACAA